TAAATTTACAGCTACTTTTGCTTAATTCAATGAGAAGAAAGAGGTGTACTAACATTGTTTGGACAGAATATCCTGTCTGCTTCTTGTACTATGGATAACCACTAAGAAGATAACAATGTACAGTGTATTGACTATCAAAACTGTCCTATTAATCAACTGTGAAACTGTCTCATTCATATTTATTTCTCAATAAAAAAAATATAAAAAAATAGAATGATGGTGACAAGGGCTCCTTCTAAGGTACACTGAAAGCAGCTGGCTGAAATGACCCAGTGGGTAACTTACAAAAAGCACCGACACCCATTCATGAATCTTTATAACCTTCTGTCTACATGAACCCTCTGTAGAAATTATGTGAATCAAAGTACACATAATATATGGGGCAAAATAAAAGATAGATAAGAGGAAATGAAGAGATCTTTTGCAAATGGGAAAAGGATCTAGAGACAGAGGAAAGGGAAAGGAAAGAGGACAAGGGGGAGCAAAAACAATTCAGAGGTGTGTGTTTGTGTGCCAGCTTCCCACAATGAGTGTAATCATGATGTACTGCCAGATGCACTAGAAACATTTGTAACATTTTTAAAGACATTATGGGAATCCTTAGAATAGTATCTTACCTGCATAATGGAGTCCAAGTAGAAACTAGACAAGTTGTGTTTAGTAAAAGTTTATGTTGTAAAATAAACAGTCCAAATAAGTCTGGTCTTTATTTTGATACCTTTTTCTATAAATTTATTTTTATTTGTATATATATTATTTACCATATTTCCCTTTTCTGCAGGTTCTAGGATTGAACTCAGGGCCTTGCATATGCTAAGCAATGAAGCAAGTGTTGCACTGCTAAGTTACACCCCCTGCTTGTGATTTTGAGACAAGGTCTTTGCTAAATTGCCCAGGTTGGATTTAAACTTGTAATCCTACAGCCTGTATACTTCCCAAGTAGCTGGGATTATAGACACACACCAGCACCACTGGCTAAAGTAACAAGCTAATACCTGGCGACCATTAATTTTCTGTTCTGAGTCTTCCTAATCTGGATATTTTATATAAATGCATCAATTTATAAGATTTTCTGTCTGGCTCCTCAGCACACTTGGGGGCTCACTGGTGTGGTGATACTTCATCCCCTTTTACAGCGGAGGAATATTTAACTGTGTGGATATGCCACGTGCACAACATTCTGTTTTTAAGTCATTGAGAAATGATTAAATCTAGCTAGTTAACATACACATAGTTATCATTTTGTGGTGAGAATGCATCCATTTTCTTAGTATTTTCAAGATAGTATTATTATAGTATTAACTATAGTTTACATGTTGTACAATAGATCTCTTTAATTTATTTTTCCTGTCCAACTGAAAGTTTGTGTCATTTCAGTGGCCCAGACCCAGACCCAGCCTCCCTCACCACCACCATCTTCCATAAAGTAAAGTGGAGGGAGGGTTAAGACAGGTTCTCACGATGTTATCCAAGTTGGCCTTACATTTATAATTTGCCTGCCTTGGCTTCCCAAGTACTGGTATTAGAGGTGTGTGTCACCAAATTCATCACCATACCCATCACGATAGATAGATAGACAGACAGACAGACAGACAGACAGACAGACAGACAGACAGATAGATATAGATGGACGGATAGACAGAGATAGATAGATGGATGGACAGACAGACAGACAGACAGATTCTGAGCTCAAGCTGGCCTCAAACTCAAGGTGATTCTCCTGCCTCAGCCTTCCAAGTACTGGGATTATTACAGGCTCGTGCCACCACATCCAGCTTCTTATAAATTTTTAAATAAATATGAACAAAACATAAGAGATAAATCAATAGGTTTCAAGGTCCTGGATCTTCAGAACCATTTGTAAAATTGGTTTTTAAGAAGTGAAAATGCTAGGGCTACAAAGTAATCCCAGAGATTCTAACTCAGTAAATAATAATTCTGTGACACTTCCCAGTTTGAGAGTCACAAACTAAATGATTAAATATTTGTGGAGATGCATAAGAAATGATTCTACAACTTCATTGTTTTATTTTTCTAGGTTTAGCAAAACAGAATGTACTCGGCATGAATTTTTTTATGAGATTGACAAGTAAGAAATATTTTTAAGTAAGCACTGAGATTTACATTAATGTTATAATATTAATAATAATTCACAATTGGTCCTTATTTTCATTGCATTTCTATTGGCATCTATGTGCTCAGCTTAACACTATGAGGCTAGTTTTAGCATTAAGCAAAATATATAGACTGGTAATTACCCTTCTCTGTAGCATGCAAGAGAAAGACTTAGTTACTGTCTTCTCCTTCAATGTAATTGGATAAAGTAAACTTCATTTGGTCTCAAATTCCATGCTGCTCCTTCTAGTTGAAAGAAGACGTACAAGAGTATGTTACTTTCCTGCATCATTTTCCTTTAATTCCACATTAATGTAGTCATAATTTGTGAATTTACCAAGAAAGTCCTGACATCAACTATTCTACTGACTCAACTTTTATGCTATACTTTGCATTTAATTTTATGCATATTTTAATAATGTGATTTATTGACAATATAACTAAACAAAATCCAATTTTTGCCTTTGAGAAGGAGGGTTTTTGCTGTTGTTGTTTTTTCTTTTTGGCTACTTCAGGCTGCCTTAAGGGCAAGTCTGGGAGCTGGGAATCAAAATGCAACTGCCTGCATTTACCCAAGCAGCGCTTTAAACATCTGAGCTGTCCAGCAAAGCCCCCAATTTTTGCCTTTGAAAGGAGAAAATCATTATTTTATTTTGTTTTCCTTTTTTTTTTTTTTTTTTTTTTTTGGCAGAACCGGGGATTGAACTCAGGCCCTTGTGCTTGCCAGGGAAGTGCTTATTCCACTGAGCCATCTCCCTGGCCCGAAAATCATTATTGTAAAATGTTAAATATTTATTGGCTGCCCAAAGTACAGAAATTCACTCTCTGGTAAATTTCTCAGCACCTCAGAAAAAGCTGTGAAATTTTCTAATTCTACTTCTAACCACCAAGCATATCCACAAGGAACTGGGGTTATACTGCAAGGCAGGATACAGAAAGGGCAAGCCTGGACACGATGCTTAGTGGAGGAGTAGGTGAAATGGGGCGGGGTGGAGGAGTATAGGAAACTCTAAAGGTGGGGTCACTACCTTCCCAAGTCACATGGCAGCGGACCTCCTGAGAAAGCACTAGGTCCACTGTGGCGGGAATTTTCTGCATTCCTCCCTGGAGCATACATAGTTAAGACAAAAGGAAAACAAGACTGGTGACAGAAGTTGGATAGGAAAAAAACGTGAGTTTGTAAAGGGAAAGGATTCCCTTTAGATAGTGAGAAATCTAAATTAGAAGTAACTGAGGTTTTCAAACACGTATCTTTTGTTACTGATTCTGAACACCTCATTTTTTCACCTATTGATAGTCTGGGAAACGGGCTGGAGATATAGCTCAGGGGCACAGCGCCTGCCTGGCAAGTGCAAGGTCGTGAATTCAATTCCCGGTATGGAAAGAAAACTAGACTTGGCAGAGCTACATTGAAATAGCACAAAGGATATGGGTTTTATAACCATGCATCTTTTGTAGGAGTGAAGCAAGTTTTTTTACCTTGAAAAATCTCATATGATTTCTGAAGATGATGCCACAGTGCCTTAGCGGACGCCAATAATCTGTACCCTGCTTGTTATTGTAAGAAAGTGTTAATATGTATGGAAATACATGGAAAATGCCTGAAACATAGTAAGCAATCGATAGCTAACAATCATGTTCATGTATTTGGTATTTCTTACACTTCCTTAAAAAAGTCTTGGTCTTAGTTTTGAAGTTTGAAAAAAAGGAAAATATATAAATAATGATGAATATCTCTTTTATAGGTCATTTCTGAGACACGAACCACTTGAAAATTTGGTAAGAAAATTGTCATTTTTGTCAGTGACATAAATATATATAATAATTTTTTAAAAAACACTTTTCTTTTTCTAGAAAGTGAGGTACGACTGGGAGAAATTTGGCTGCCCACTGAGACTTAACGGCCACGAAAAGTTTCAACCTTTGATTCAGTTGTAAGTAACGTTTAAAATTATTGGTTAAATTTTTAACTCATTTTATAAATTTCATTTTAAAAGCATAAAACCAAGACTACTCGTGCATTTAATAATAAGTATTGTTGGGTACTCAGTATGTGCAAGTAGTAGTCATGCAAAGCAGGGCGAATACAGTCTCTACATGTTGAGGCTGAAGTCTGAGCAGATGAGAGAACCAGAGCCTTTTCAGAAATGTAGGCAGCCCTGGTTTTATCCTCCTTAAATATCTCCTCAGGCTCTTATCAGAACACCTGCCTGTTTGACAGGAACTATGCTACCCAGGTGACAAGACCGCCCTGGGCATGAACCTATAATAATGAACACTTATTTGGAAAGAAACTAGATTGCTGATTGAAAGGACCTCAGAAATATTATTCCTGACTTAGCTCCTATAAACGTGATCTCATTATGAAAATATGAATAAAATGCTACATGGGAAGCTATTTTTCTGAACAATTTTGTATTTGTTTCCTTTGTGACGGGTCCGTGCATGCGTGACACATGCGCACTAGGGATCAAACCTTCAGGCATAGCCGGGCTAAGCAGCGAGTCTACTGCCGAGCTCCACTCCCCGGGCCCTGACTTGGTTATTTTATCCTTCATTAATTCTTATAAATGTAAACTGCTTGTTATAAAATTTAATATAGAGAAAAATATAAGAAATAAACGACTGGTGATCCTCGATGTTTTGCTATCAAATTATGGTGAGTATGCATTTATGTGTATGTCTGGACATACCCGGCCAGCTAGGCCATAGGATAAATTACTGGAAACAAAGCTGCTGTGTCTAAAACACCAGAACTTTAGTCAAGGCTTCCAGCCATTGACTGGAGACAACGCAGATCTCTGGGGTGGGCAGCTGTAGCTGTAGTGAGTCACGCGTTCCGCTACTTCCCCGCCTGTCGCACTTGGGACCTGGAAGTCAGTGCCGGCTTGCTCCGCCCACTTCCAGGCCTGGCCAGCCCCCTTAGCACTGCAAGGCTCTGGGAGTCCTCTCTGCACACCCGCCTCTGTGGGCCCCCCAGTGCTGTGGGACTGCTTGTCACCTTTGGTTTCCCTCTGCCTTTAGACATCTACCTGCGCCACTGCTTTTCCTGGGCACCCAAGGAAATCTTTCCCCTAGCCGAGGCCTAGTTTTGTTGGTTTTGGTTTTTGTGTTTGCTTGTTTACAAAATGCTTAACCTCTTGGGGGAAGGTGAACTTGTTCTCTCTCAGAGATGCACTCTTCAGTTCGTCTCATCATTGCTGAGCACCTACTTTCCACCAAGCACTCTGCCAGGCCCTGGAAACTCTACAGAGTTTGTAACCTCCAGAGCTCACAAGTCTGATGAACTGAATTATTTCATGAGCTGATATGCAAAGTAGAAGGACAGAAGGACACAGTGTAGGTGGTTGGTATTGAGACCCAAAAGCAACGAACAGAAGCCAGCCTGGCTGTGAAGGGAGATGGCCTCTGGAGAATGTTCCAGAAAATTTTTAGTTCAGCTGTGTCACTGAGACTTAAGGATGAGTGTCCAGGTGGATAGAGAGGAAGGAGAGAAGTTGGGAGGCTGATGTGAATTCCACTGAGTACATCCTTCAAGCACCGTGGGAGTTTCAAGAAGAAAATGTGTGGTTCAAACAGTGTGATGTTTGAGGGGCATAAATTGAGTCCCAAAGTGTCAGCAGAAGAAACCCTGAAGCAGTCTGGATGGAATCCAGACTCCAGCAGACCAAGGAGTAACAGGAACAAATATCTTCTCCAGCTCATTCTCTCTGAGAGACGTGTAGAAGATGAATTTCAAGGAACCAGGTCTACGTAGGAGGGCTAGCTGGTAAAACTGTATTTGGGAAGGGGAGAAATGACTGAAGATCAATAAGGACAAAAGAGAGGATTATTTGTGAGACAACTGAGTGACTACAATAGGTAGAGCTTGGTAATGGATGCATAGCAGTGGTGGGAGAAAGAGGGTGAGTAAGGTGAATGGGTGGCAGTGACATCGATGAGAACAGACTGTCCAGCTGGGTGTGGTGGCACAACCCTCCTCCCCCCACACACACACACATACTACTATACTCACAGTCGCTCGCTCTCCCAAGTCTCCTTTTAAGGCCACCATTCTAACAGCTACCCCGCAGGAATGAGGACCTCCAGTCTACTAAACCAACTGCTCAGTGTGCAGTTGGCCTCTCCGTTGACCTCATTCACAAGAATCAACATGGTTGATCATTCACTCTCACTTGGAATATTTTCTTTATTTGGTTTCTGGACTATGTCATTCTCTTACCATTTTTGCTACTCATTGCTACTTAAAAATTTCTTAGTTCCTTGTTTTTTCTCTAATCTCCCAATGTTGAAATATCCTAAAGTTCAGAATTTGCTAAGTAACAGCCCTACAATCTCAGTGCTTTGCTCATGGCATGTCAGAGTGTGACGTAAGTTCCATCATATACACATGGCCTCTCCAAGGTTACCACCATGTTTGGGGGTTAAAAAAAAAAATCTGGAAGATTACATAGGATGTTTTAAAAGGCCAGGACTAGAAGAGGCTTGAGTCCCACCCACATTCCATCCTCTGGAATTTAATGAGATGGCCCATAACTAACTGCAACCTGGTCTAGGAAACGTAAATAGGTGCAACTCCTGAAGCTCAAACTCACAAATCCACTGAGATGGTGAATACCCATGCAATGGTTCCACTTAGATATTGAACAAATATATCAAATTGGCCAAAATGGAGTTCTCGACCATCCTCTCAAAACCTGCTTCACCATTTCAACTGATAATAACTTCATCAGTCTGCTTGATCAGTCTAAAGCCTTAGAGTCATTCCTGACTCCTTCCTTTCTGATACTCTACATCCAATCCGGCAGTATATTCCGTTTATATACAGAATCTATCATCACTATTTGAGCTGCTGCTACCCTGAGTCAAGACATCAGATCTGGATGACCACAGGAGTCTGTTGGTGTCCCTATTTCTACTCTTGTACACATATGGTAGCTAGGGAGAGTTCTTTAAAACAAAATTACTCTTAAGCTCAAAATGCTTGTCCCTGAGGAAAGCCAAGTCCTGACAGTGACTCACAAGATCCTGTGAGATTCTCTGCTGCTGTTGCCCGACTCCCACTCATTGCCCACCAAACCACATGGTCTCCACTCTACTCAGGTAAGTCAAGCCTGCTCCCACCTCACAGCTATGCACCTATTGTCTGCCATGGCTACCCTGCTCTTCCCCTAGAGGTTCACACAACTGTCCCCTCACTGCCTTCAAGACTATGCAAATGCCATTTTCTGTGTGCACCCTGGACTGACTTTTGTGTTTAATGTTGTGACCCTCCTTGGCACCACCTTCTTTTTTGCTCACAATACTTATTGCCACCCATATACTTTTATTTATTTATTGGTTTTCCCTCTACTATAATGTAATTTCCACAAAGTATTTTTCCCTATTTAGTTATTGCTGTATCCTCTAGTGCTTAGAACAGCGCCTGGCACATGATGACCAATCAATGAGCAGTTGCTATAGCTTGTGGCTTTCTGCTCCTGGATGAATAGTAATGCCATCAACTGTGACATGGAACAGAGAGCAACAAGGCATAAGGCTGAGAGGGCTGCTTGAGTTTTAGTCACCTTGAATTTGAGGCGTTTGCTGGACACCTGGGTGGAAATATTCAAGACAGAGAATGTTAAATTGAAGCATCTGAAGTCCAGCTAGGGATACATTTGGGAATCCAGAGAGATTTTGTGATAGCAAAAATAAATATGAGCCAGACAGAGTGTTGCACTATATAAACTCAGCTCCCTGGGAGGCTGAGGAATGATGATTCCAAGTTTGAGTCCAACCTGGGCAATTAGCAACTTATCAGGACCTTAACTCAAAATTAAAAAAAGGGGAGACAGAGAGGTAGCTCACTGCAAAGACGAATCTCCAGTACGGTAACAACAGCAACAACAATTAGACTGGGTATGGTGGCACATGCCTCTAATCCCAGCTCTTGGGAGGCTGTAAACAGGCGAATCACTACAAGTCCTATCTAGTAGCGACATCCTGAACACCCTGTAGACCCTTCCCTAAAAAATAAAAATTTAAAAAAAAAAAAACCAGCAACAACAATAGTTGTGAGTAACCAGAAAGACTTGTTGGGGTGCCCAGGAGGTTCAGTTGCCCTTCTTGTCCTAAATCCTGAATGAAGTGAATAATATGACAAAGAAGTCAAAATATATGAGCTTATAAGTTGCTTACTCCTGACAGATATGGTACATACATGCAGAAAATGCATGTCCCACTACCCCATCAGTAACACTGTGCCAAAGACAGGAAGAAGTGCCCCCCAACTCCCAGGTGCTGCTGGTCCTCTGCTGGTGTCGCTCTTGGGTGCCAGGTGAAATGTATGAATGAAGGCTCACAGAAGGATGCATTGTCCTAAATACGACCAGCTCTAAGAATAAAGACGAGAAGCAGAGCCAAGAATGCTCTTTTATTATACTCTAACTCACCATTTAAGCCAAGCCATGAGGCAAAATGAGCAGAAGGATGGGGCTAGTCCACATAGAAGGACGTATCAGGTCAGCTAGGTGTGGTGATCCAGGGGGCCGAGGCAGGAGGACTGCTGAGTTAGGGCCAGCTTGGGCTATACAGCAGTCCCTCGCTACTTTGTGCGGCTCAACTTTCATAGACTCACTCACTGTTTTGTGGGCTTTCAAAAAATATTAATCTAAATTATCATAGATTTTTTGCTATATTGCAGGATTTCACAGTACCATACAGTATATGTGTGTTGTTAAAATTACATAAGTTTATGAATTTAGAAAATGGTTAAGAACATTAAAAGTGTTTTAAAAAGTATGGGAAAGGTTTATATGAGTGTGGGGAAGAGTTTATAAAGCCTTAAAATATATATAAATACTAAGATAAATATAACATCACTACTTCCCTGATTTTCACTTATCAAGGGGCTGTCAGGAATGTAACCCCCAGGATAAGCAAGGGACCGCTG